CCATTTGGAATGTTGTTGGCTTGCAGCGCGATCCACAAGCCCCGCCAAAATGGCATGATGGGCCCGAGACTGTGGACACACGAACACCTTCCGGCGTGTAGATACAGCCGCATCATATAGGAACGCAACCCCTTGCTGACGCTCTCTCTGGCCGGCAAGATATTTCATGAAACGGATGTCACAAATGCAGCCACCTTGCAGTGTAGCTACCCAGGTCACGCGCTGTCCCGGCCGTGCAGGGTCTTTGACAACGAAGAATTTACAAGACGGCAGGTCTCCACTTAGGTTCTGCCCCTGCAACTCTGGGCACTGGCCCCACGATTCGTCCTCAAGGAAAATCCAGTGGTTCAGTAGCTGCGGCGCAGCAGGAGCCATAATAGCATGCCGGCGGCTTGCTGCCCGCTGCCTCTCAGCATCCAGCTTGTCTTGATGCTTGACCCAGTCTTCTGCCAACTCCTCCAGTTCGGGGTCAACCTCACTGGCCAGCAAATGCCCGTCCAAGTAGGACTGGATCTGATTCTTGTACTGCTTGGTCTGCTGGAACAGAAGCTCGTTCTGAATGCTGTCGCAATTCTCCATATGCTCCTGCGCGGCCTCGAGCGCCTCCGCCTTGATGTCGTTGGGGTCACACAGCACCATCTCCTCCTGGACCTTTTGACGCCGCCGAGCAACGAAGGCTGCTTGCGACTGTCCATCAGAATCCTGCGCAGATGGTGGTCTGTGTCAACATCCTAGCAGTTTAATCTGAGTTTTCACTTGGGGTCAATTGGATTGCGGGGACATCTTAAATCTACTCGGCCAGCAAGCCTTGTGCGAGCGCTTCACGCCCTTGTCCAGCCGGGAGGTACTGCCATTCCGAGGCTTCCCGAACCAGGAGAGCCAGACTTCCGCGGCCAGCTTGTTTATGGACGCTGGCCCCAAGCGATCGTAATCGAACATGAACTTGAGCTCGTAATTCATGGTTTCCTCCCCGAGCCCAGAGCGATCAGGAGTGATGATCTTTCGCATCCGCGCGAAGTGCTGTTCCACGCCGCTGGTGGTGCACCCGTCGAAGCTGCCCAGACGCATGAGGATCCATGCGAGATTACTGGACGGGTGGCGTGTTGCTGTTGAAGAGCGCGCCGACGTTTTCTGCACTGCTGTCTTCCAAGCTTGAAACGAGCTCGCGTCCTTGTTGCAGATAGCGTGATGCTGTGCAATGGGCCGATGGTCCTCATATTCCGCGAGAAAGGCCTCGCAATCAACTTCAAATGCCTGACACAGGCGCTCAGCCGCGTCTCGCGTTGACTGAGCCCTGTCCGAGCTATCAGCACGGCAACTGCGAGATTGATGCGACAGGTCGAAAATCCGGAACGCAGCCAGCAACTGAATGTTGGGGAATTCCGACTCCAGAACCTCCAGACATAAGGCCACGAGTGATTTCATGACTTTCAAGCAGCGCTGCACAGTAGCAGCTGGAAGAGATGAGCCCCCTATGGTTTTTGGCTGAGCGCCGATCATGAAAGCCACTGGCTCCTGTAGCTGCCGCATCATGTGCTCGGTGTACCCCGAATGCAGAACTCGCTCCTGCAGCAGGGGTCTAGGGTCTGCTCCGAATCCTTCCCCATTCAGGGTCCAAGGCTATACGTCTGTTGTCCTAAAAACAAGCCCCGCCTCAGGTGTTCCAGGCCTCTTTTTATAGGTTAGGGCTTAATAGGGTTTTGGGCATAGAGCACCTGCAAGAACAAGGTCCGGAGACGCGATGCAAAAACGTCAACCTCCAGCATCACTGCAGACACATCGTGCTCTTCACTATCCAGCATGCGTATCAATGCGGTCGTCTCGTCAGAAAAGTCTGCTGCCATTGCCAGCAAGAGCATCCTCTCCTCGGAGATGTACTCTAAGAAGTCTCGAGCTCGCTGACCATCCCTGTCGTCCTTGCGATGGACGGACGCGTGGACAGCTGTCATGATAACAGCCTCGAACCATAATATCATCCGGGATGTGGGCTTCTGAAAAGAGTCAAACCTGTGCTTGCGGAAGCTGAGGTTTTTGATACGCTTGGACTTCACAGCAGACGACTCCACGCGGGCACAGTATCCGGCGAAGGCATTGGACAGCACCTGGCTGCTCTGGATGGTTCTCGTGATGCTGCTGGACCCAGAAATCAGAGTTGAGTAAACCTCGTCCAGCTCATTGATTGCCTTGAATGGACGCGACATGAGTCTCCTAGCAGCGTGCGTGCGATCTTTCATGGCTACCTTGGAGTTGGGGAAGAGTCCGGCGGAGATTCGCATGAGCCGTGCCGCGAGCTGCTCGTCCGCCGCTGCGTCTGTATCAATGAGCTCAACGTTCCCTCGCAGCGTGTCAAATGCAGACTCGTCACCTTGGCAAACGTTCATCACGATCGCTCGCGCTCCTGCCTGCAGCGAGGCATTGGAGCCATCCTGCAAGTGCGCGACTCCCAGCAGGCCCTTCGCCGTTGTAAGGTTTTCAGAGCACATGGAGAACCGCATCATGAGCAGCATGGCTGACACATCCTGGTGGATGACCAAGCTTCCTGGCTGGAGCAACAGCTGCAAGTCCGCTTCAATGCACGCCTGCCCAAGACAATCCTGCATCTGGGTGAGCTTCCGTCTGCCGCCTAGTCCAGGCACATGTGTACTCAGTGAGGTGCATTGCTTTCCTGGCTTGCTAGTCAGGCAACCCGTAAACAATTATCACCGGCCCTCTTAACTTAGTAAGGCAACCGAATCTGCCATGCATGCGAGGCTCGATGCTCTGCAAGCTTCGCGAACTGTTCCGCAGACGGGGCTCCGTGCTCGTCTAAGCCAGCTCTAGAGAGGGCCCGCAGATGCTGCCTGGAAACCTCATGTCTACGCACATTGCTGAAGTTGCCAGGGCCGTGAAAGCCGGAGGTTGCAAATGAACCTGTCATGCCGCTGGCCGCGCAAATCTGGCATCCCAAACCCCATCGGCCACGCCAGAGGCGATCAGTCAGCCACGGCAGCTTCAGTTTCCATGCCTGCCAGTTCCGCAAATAGCAGCATCGAAAGCAGTGCGGGTCCTCGCAGTCTCGCACATGTCGCCGGTGGTCTTCGGCGACTGAAGCTCCCCCAGCTCCGTCCGCTTCGGCTCCAGGCTCTGAGACGCACCCATCAGCGCTAGGCACGTCAGCCGCCTCCGCAGCAGGCGCCAGTCCTTGCCACGTGGATTTAAAGCCAGGAATCATGGCCGCCAAGCGTCGGAGCACAAGGCTGATCACCCTTGATCAACCATGCTGCAAAGGCGGATGAATGTCATACACATGCCAACCCCAAACCCCAGCGTAACCCTGAACCTAGACCTAGAGCAGGTTCTGCTCTGTATCTTAAACAACGGGTCAGCTGAGGGGATGCATTCAGAACGTGACCAGCGCTGGTATGTGTAGTACCCACTACTACGACTGCTACTACTACTACTACTACTACTACTACTACTACTACTACTACTACTACTACTACTACGTCTAATAGCACGACTCTTAGAGCTACAGCTCGAGAAACTGGTCCTGTACTGTTGCTGTCCGACTACTCCAACTGCTTCCCCTCCGACGGCTGCTACTGCTACTGCTCGTGCCACTGCCACTGCCGCTGCTGCTGCTGTTGCCACTTGCCACTGCCGCAACACCTGGAGGCTCCTTGTGAAGCGGCGCTGTCCAGGAAAGCGCAGCCTGAAGGCAGCAGAACAAGCTCGCGTTGCAGGTCTCTTCAAGCTTTCAAACAAGTGCTTGACACATGTGCGTCATGTGCGTGCACGGCAAGATCGGGGGCCATAATTGAGTGTCAAATGTGCTCGCCATGCAGGTGTCATGTGGTCTTCGGGGAGGCCGCCTTTGGGCGCCAAAAGGCGGCATGTGTTTGAGGGTTTTCAGTCTTTCCCGCATTGGCTCGGTTTTGGGCTTGGGGTTCAGGTTTGGTTTTACTCTTTGGTTTTGAACTTTGGTTTTACTCTGGGGTTCAGGTCTGGTTTTGCTCTGGAGGGCGCCAAAAGGCGGCGTGGCTTTGAGGGGTTTTGGCTTTGGCTTTGGTGGGCTTCAGTGTTTTCCAAAGAACGGCTTTGGCTTTCTCTCCAAAGTGCTGCCGTGCCTATCACGGGTATCGCTTTGGCTTTGGTGGGCTTCAGTGTTTGTGGCTTTGGGGTTCGGCCTGGTTTCCATCAAGTGCTGTGCTTGGGCTGTTAATAGGTCTCTGGGACTGGGGGTCTAGGGTTTAGGGGGGGGGCTCGCGTCTGTGACCGAGTGACCGAGTGACGTTTACTGGGCTATGTGTGCATTGATGTACAGAGCCACCTCAGAGCGGGTTCCTGAGGCTTCGCCCCGCATGGCAGCTCTCCTGTGATTCTGAACATCCGAAAACATAAACGTCTGACATCCTCTTCTGTAGAGGCTTGCTACCCTGCTGGCTGGATCGTCAGGCCTCGAAGCAGGGCCAACACGAAGGAGGCGAGAACCTCAGGTTGCTCAGCGTGGACTCAAGCTGCACAGCGCGGAAGCACAGTTCATGTCTTGCAGTGGCAGGTTCAGCTTCAGAAACACATGGGTGCCTGCGTGACTGCTGCGAGGGCTTATATGCCATGACCTTGAAGGACACACACACAGGCACGTACATGTACATATATGTATGCATACGTTCCAAAGCACAGCAGCCACAGCGGAAGCAGCGTCACCCTCCCCTCACGACCAGGAACACAGTGAGCACCAGCAGCAGCTCAACAGCAGCACCGCACACCCTTGTGAGAACCGGAAAGACAGACACACGTATACATGTGTGTATATATATATATACACGTATGTGTAGGTTCCAATACCATTGCGAGTGTCACGCGAGGTCTCCTAGCCGTGAAGTCCGTTTTGTGCACAGCCAGTGTCAAGGCTGTAACACCGATCAATACAAACCAAAACTTGTACACAAAGCTGACAACTGATAATGCTAGGCACAACAACAGCATCAGCCACAGAGCAGAGCCGCGGCGCAGCAAAGATGGCCGGGTGGCAAAGCGGGGACTGGAGCAGCGACAACAGGGGTTGGCACTCTACCTCTGCATGGAGCTCACACGACCGGCGGGGTTCTTGGACAGAGCCCCAAGGGAGGCCAAAGCAGAAGGCAAAGGCTTCACCCAAGCCAAATGCCGGGGGACCCCAAGGGCGAGCCAAGCCGAAAGCCAAGGCTTCGCCTAAGGCAAGTGCCCGACATGAGGAGGAGGAGGAGGAGGAGGAGGCTGGTCGGAGCCGGAGGGAACGAGAGGAGAAGAGGCTGCCCATGCGTGAGGAGATGGAGGAGCTTCGCCGAACTGTCCACACGCAAGCGGGGCTCCTGGCCGGAGTGCCTGAGCTGCGGGCAGAGTACCTGCAGGTGCTGGAGCAGCGCACAGAAGCCAGAACAGCGCTCAAGTATCAAGAGCAGATGGGCTGGGGTGCAGCCAACATGCTGAAGGCCAACACTGCGGAGATGAAGGAAGTGGAAGCTTCGATGAAGGAAGTGGAAGCTTCGATGTCCGAAGAAGTGGATGCTGCCTCTGCATCTCAGGCCGCCCAACAAAGGCTGCAGGAGGAGCTAGCCGCGGAGGGGCTACAGGTCACGGAGCAGATCAAGCGCGGCAAAGGCTGGTGGATGCGATCCAAGACTCTTGCAGAGGAGCTGGAGGCGGAAGCCTAGATTAAATCCGCAACCCCCCTTGAAAAAAAAACTGCTCGGCCAGGCGAAGGAAACAGAGTTGAGGCGGAGCAGGGAGACGTACCACGAGCTGAAGGTGCTGAATTCCATGGAGGCCCGACGCGAGATCGAGGCGGCCGAGAAGACCGAGGACGCGAAATAATCGTTGTGCGGGGTCAGCGGTGTTCTTGCTGGTATGTCGTGCGTGGCAAACCTGTGTCAGGAGGAGGCAATCCGGAAGGCCATGACGTTCAACGAGGAGATGGCGTTGACAAAGGAAGAGTCAGGTTCTTAGAGTTCGCCCTTGAGGGTTGTGTCACCTCGACAAAAGTGACGCTTGTTGGAACAAGGCTGGAGAAGACACAGATGGTGGCCTCCTTGCAGGAGAAGGAGGTGGTAGAGAGGAGGGTCGAGGCAAGGCTGCGGCTGTAAGGTACATGATGATGTGAGCACATCATCATATCGGTCAGGTGATGGAGCTCCGAAAGCAGTTGGAGGCCGCGCAGGACCTGCGTCGCTCCCTTGAAGAAGATGAGGTACAGAGCGAGGTAGTTGGGAGTGTTGGGCTCTGATCTTGTCGACGGCAGGAGCGATTGATGCAATCAGTTGCTGCGACACAGCATTCCGAGGCTACGCAGGCCATCGATTCAGGAGACATTAGGCAAAAGACCACAAGCCACAACTTCGCCTTTTTTCGGAAGGCAGCTGCCTCACGAGAGACACAGGCACAGGTCAGGAATCTTGGCCATCATTGAAGATTGCAGTGTGGTCCTATTACTGTATATGACAGAAGCGGTGTGTTCGAAAGGTGGCGAGCATCAGAAGCGAGCTGCAGCACGAAACGGAGCAGGCCTGCTGTTGCGCTTTGCTCGTTAGGAAAGTCTTCTTCCCAGAGGCAAGTAGCTAGATCATGCAACATTCGAGGCGAGGCTGCAAGCAGAGGAGCTGGCAGAGACTGTGCAGAGGTCCATGCAAGAGGAGGTGCCCTACTGAGACTGAAAAACATAATCCTACGTTAGGCTGCAATTTCTTCAGGCCGAGACCCTTGCTTTGCAGGAGGAGCTCAACATCAAGGAGGCATCCTAAGCCTCTAGTTAATGGCCCTCTCTCAGCCTCTGACTGACCAGATCATGGTGAACGACATGATCGCGGAAGTCCTGCGAACCAGGAAAGAGGCAATATGCGTGACTCTGACAGACTGACCACAGCCGCTCTGGGTGCCACTGCAGGTGCAGGGGCATGCTGCTGAACAGGTCGGGTCGTAACACCTAGCCCTACCAAGCCGAGTGAGCCTCTTCCAGGACAGCGTAGCTGCAGCCGAGGCACACCTGATGCAGTGCGAAGTAAGGCGTACTCCCTGCAACGTGCACGTGCAGGTGGCCCCCGCAAATCCGTTCCGGGCTCCCTCGACTCCCAGCCCTACATCCCCAGCAAGCGTGGGCAAGGCCAGGAATGTGAGGAACACAACATAGTATTGCTTGTGCAGTTAACTCTTCTAAGGACCTTGCGGCGCCGACAGAGGAGGGGCGGTCATACGAGCCAATTTACGAGTACTCTGTGTGCCTGTGCTAGGACAGATCCCCGCAGCGCAGCCCACCGCAGGCAGGGCACTAGCACATCAGCAAAAACACAAGCAAAACCATCACATCCGGCAGGTGCCTACCGAAGTCCCCAGCCCCAGCTCGCCTCGCTGAATCCTGAAGTGCTCTGCCGAAGGCCCGACCAGATTGAATAGAGTTTGAGTAGCATGTCGGAGCCTGCTGCGCGGAGGTTTTGGCTCTTCCGCTCGTCCAGCTTGAGCTCTGCTGCGGGCAACAGCAAAAAGAGGAAGAGTGCTTTGCACCGTCTAACACATCGTCTGTCTTCTACAGCATGCTGCTCGGTGGATTGCCTGACTGCCCAGGTCTCACTGTCACATCGGGACTCACAGACAATTGACAAGGCGGGACGGTGCTAGGTGAGCTACAAAGATGAACTACTTGATAATTTGCCCGCCTTGTGCCGCTCTGATTTGCAGGAGCTTCCTGCGCGACCAGGTCAGGGGCTCCGTTGTTGTTGCGTGGTGCACTAGCCTGACGACCGTTGAGATTGCGTTCACGGTCTGTGCTACGCTCTAAGTCAATCCTAGCGGTGCCTGCAAACACTACCCAGGTCATGCTTCGAACATCGGGGGAGTCAGACAAGGCTAGAGTGCGGTGGGTTCTTGAAGACACTCCGCACTGCAATAGGACTTGCATGCATCACTGTGCTAGAAGGCCCTCGGCCCAAAACCTTAAACTTGAGAGTGCCTGATGCTGTCACACTGGGGCACACGCCTCTTGAGCAATAGGACCTTCAAACGAAGCACAAGCACCATCGCGGCACTTGTGTTGCACGCAGATCTAATGGCTCTGGGCGCAGTCCTGCTGCCGGGGAAAAGGGACACACTATCGCAGTGTGCCCCCCCCCCTTCTTTTCCCTCCTTCACCTGCCCTGTTGGGGGCTTTTTTTTCTCTCGGCCAGGGAAACACCATCGCGGCGTTCCCCTCAGCCCCCTTTTTTTAGGGTGGCACACCATCGCAGTGTGCCACCTTTCTTTTTCTTTCTGCTCTCTGCTTCGACCAGGGAGACACTATCGCAGTGTTCCCCGGCAATAGGGCGGCACACTCGCAGTGTGCCCCCTTTTTTTCTCTCTTTCTCTCCACCTGCCCTGTGAGGGCTCTCTGCTTCGACCAGGGAGGCACTATCGCAGTGTTCCCCGGCAATGACTAATCAAGAGAAGCACTATCGCAGCGCTTCTCTTGCGGTGAAGATGTCGAGAATCGCTGTCGCCGAAGAGAAGATGATACCTGCGATTCCTGCAAAGCCCTGACAGCTGCACGGGATTTTAGAGCTGGGGGGCTTATGGTTCAGGCATTTAGAGAATTTACAAATCATCCAAGTCGAACACAAACCTTGGCTCTAGCTTTACTCCACGAAAGGCTCTCTACGACAGAAACAGAAATTTAGTGTCTTCGAGCAGAAACTACTTCCCAAACACAAGCTGTGATCTTTTGGAGAATTCAATGACATGAAAGATGTTGACAAACAACAAAGACATGCTCCGCAAGTTTTGGAAAGCGTGCAAGAATCAGGTTTTGAATCGTGTCTTTTGCTTTTGGCGGAACCAACAACAAAGTCGCAAACAAGTCGCGCTGTCATTTCTTTTTTGTCCAATCCGGGATGTTTTGCTGGAGTTTCGAAACGGTTTTTGTCACCTGCCAGTTGGCACGAGTTTCTTCAACAACACCGCCCGAAAAAATTGGAAACGTCTTGTTGCTCAAACCCCTGCGCCCGTTTTGGCTGTGTTAGCATGCAAAACTATGAAACATGACAGGTTTTTTCTTGGCGCTGCGCTTGATAGCTGATGATGCTGTGTGGGATATTTTTGTTGTCCTGTCCACGGCTTCCGGCAAGTTTATGGGTCTAGGCGATCTACAGCCACTCTCTCTCTCTGGATCTCGCTGCCTTTCTTTGTTTTTTGTCCATGGGATGTCATGCCTTCCCCAGCCACACCCAACCCCGAGGCACAAAGGCACACAGCTAAGCACCGGCAAGCAAAGCTCCTAAACTTTAAACCTTACACAACAATCCCTAAACCCTCGACCGAGAAACGATAGACCCTGAAACCCTGAGCCCTGAAGCCCTAAACCATAAGCCCTAAACTCTAAACCCTAAACACCCAACACCAGCAACCCTAAGCCGTAGACTCCAAACCTTAGGCCTACAAGACCGTCTGAATATAGTACGAAATGAGGACCCTTTATCCTAATATACATATTCACAAGAGCAACCGTTTTTATAGTACTTTAAGGGCGCTTTCATATTCTTCTTCTCACATCATCACCAAGAGTACCTGTAAAACGTCTTTCAGCATGGATTTCCTTCAACACTAGCCCTAAACCCTAAATCCGCTGGTCTCCTGCAGGAGTCTGATCCGGAACTTCTCGGCAGCCCAGTTGCTCGGCAAGTCCTTCACGGCTTTCGGCGCTAGGGTTTAGGGTTGAGGGTTTGGGGTTGAGGGGTTTTAGAAACTGTATGGGGTTCCACAAGTTTTGACCGAAACCTTCTGGCCGAAAGTTTCGAACTTTAGGCCGAAAGTAAAATTGAGCTGAAAGTGCTGACCAAAATTTTTGACCGAACCGTCTGTCAATAGGCTATTGAACTTTAGAATTTAAAGCTCTGTGTTTATTTCAGGTGCCTTTTTGGGGCCTCCTGGAGACCTTTTGGGGCCTTGTCTGGTCTGGGGTTTTCTGGGGCATCCTGGAGCCTTTTGGCCTTTCTGGGCTTCCTGGGCCATTTTGGGATCTTTCTTTAAGGGCTTTTGTTTCCTTTCGGGACCTGGCCTGGGACCTTTGGAGCCTTTCTCGGGCCTCCCGCCAAGATCGTGCGTGCGGCTTAAGTTAAGACATAGATGTCACTAGGAAGTTAGAGAAGCTAGATAAAAAGTTAACATACGTTGGAAAAACTCCACTTAAGTTACCGTAACAGAAGGTACAAAACAAAAGAAAGAAACAGCAACAACTGAGACACAAAGACATATGATATGACTCGCACGACATGACATCACATGACGTGATGTGTGAGTGATGTGACATGGCACGACGTGCCAAAGTGATAACATAGGACTTGATAGGATGGGGTTTTGTGTATATAAAAGCCTGAAAAGGCACGCCCTGACTCAACCTTCATTTCAGGTGAACAGTAGGTCATTAGGTTAGGTAGGTCGGTAGGTAACGACGTCGTGTCGTTAGACATGGAGGTTGTTTTGGTATGTGGGTGGCTGGGCCACTGGTGGGACTAAGGGGATGCAGCTTTGAGATTCTATGGCTTAGGGACAGCAGCTGGTGCAAAAAATGTACCAAGAGCAAATGAGCACGTGAAACCAAACTTGAACCCCCGAGGCGCGGAGGGCGCCCAAGGCCCAGCCCTGGCCAAATCCAGCCCAAACCCCAACCCCAACCCCAGCTGTTTCTGGGAGCTAGGAGTCTTACTCGTACTCTTATTCCCACTCGCGTTCTGGGAATCTTAATCCCACACCATCCCTGGGAGAATCTCTTTGAGGTCCTGGGGTTGGCGAGAGCTCGTTCCCCCTAAACCCTAAGTGTCCTGGTTCGCGTCCATCTTGATGAAGCGGTTCCGCGTAGGGTTGTGGAACGCCACCTGTGGGGGAGCCGAGGGTTTCGACTCGCACATTCGCACAGCAGGCACGGCTTGAAGGTCTCGAGGGTGTCGGGTTGTTGAGGCGGTTGCAGATTTCGGGCTTTTCCAGAGAGGGCTCCTAAGGGCGGGGCTTGTGGTGCATGCCAGGGCGTGAAGTGGTCGTTGTAGGATCGCTGTATAAGACTTTTGAGGGTCTAGGGCTCAGGGTTTGGGAATTCAAGGTTACGGTTAGGGTCACTGGACACTAAGTG